TATAGATTACAATTAGATTTCTTATAACACAGTTATAGATTATAGATTACAATTAGATTTCTGTTGTGGTAGGATCCACCTAATTTGCATAGTGGAGTACCGACCATATAAATATGGTTGGTACCGGGAAGAGAGGGAGGAATCAAGAGATTCAACCAGAGACTCTGCCCGACTGCGACTCAGTCAACACATTCTCCAGGAACGGTCTTACCAGGAATATACAAAAGACTATATGTAAATATTGTGTACACTTTCTTGTTTCAATACATTTTGTTCTAAGTACATTTTGTGTTGCATTATTATTCCATGCATTAGTCAAGTTCCAACAATTTCTTATAAAAAAAATTTTACATTATAAATTACAGTTAGATTTCTTATAATACAGTTATAACTTCAACAAAGCTAAAACAGAAAATACACATATATAATCGCCTCTAGTAATTATGTCCGCACAAACACGTATATGCACAAAATCTGAGTATCAAATACCATGTATGCAACTGTGAAAGCAGAATAATACACATCATATTTTTATTACTTCAAATTCCCAAGAAAATTAAATATCAGCATTAAATGATTCATAAGGTGTTGATGTGCCGTTAAACAATCAAATCAATCAAACTTCTTGCTCTCTAGTACTACCATTTCTCGGAATTCTTTCTGCTTCCTTTCCTGCAATCAATGCCGTTTAATTCACTTATTTTATTGTTATAGTGGAACACACCTATTCTATAGTTAATAGACTCTCTCACCTATAATAAGTAGGAGTAGTAAGAGTAACAAGTTAGGGGATCAGTGGGTCGGTCAGTCAGTCGATGCCAGACGACCGTTAGTCGTTTACTAAAGTATCAGCGACCACAACTAGATTTCTCTGCGTTATACTTATTATATGAAGTTCTTAACATTTTGTACGTCGAACCTATTTTAGGACCGACTTAGTACAAATACAAGCCTCCACTGTGAAATCACTCTACAACATTTATATTACTATGTTCACCGATATTACATCCTGATTGATCTCTTAGGATCATCACGTTGTATTTTCTTCAGTGTGCCATGTTTGTTCAGGACGAGTGTGATCATGACTCTCCACAACTTCCTATCATTTGTAGTTCCCAGTAAAGTCTTTTCACTAGACTTCTCACCCTCTGTTCGGCCATACATATACACAAGCTTGTTAGGTTGGTTATTTGCTCTTCTTCCCTTTCTCTCTTGCTTTCAGAATGTCATGTGAGTGTCAGGTTCTCCAAGCCCTCTTTCCTCATTATGAGTCCTAGTAATTTCAACTGTCTTTTTTTTTTTTTTTACATTTTCCTTAAATCAACCTCATTACTCACATGTCCGGTCAATAGGATTCTCAGCATCCTTTCAAATCTTTTCTTCGTCTGAAGAGATTGTCCAACATTCACTGTCTTATAGTCGGATTGAGATTACATAGCTGTTCAGAACTCCTTCTTTTCATCGTAACGAAATTTTCCTGTTCCTTATTACTTAAGTTAACTTTTGGAAAATATATTTCTCTATTTGAATACGTCTTCGGATTTCAGTGTCACATTTTCTTTCCTCTGTTAAAATAGATCACATCGTTGGCAATTTCCTCGACATAAATCCGGTGAGAAAAACGTAGCCTTTTCATGTACCTTTTCATATTTTTGCGTATCCACTGAAGTCGTTCTCTATCCGCGTACAGGCTGTTTGTTCCCATTAGCGTTTGCAGGTTAAATGAAGTTCTACTACCTTTCCAACCATCAGTAACACCAACTATGAACACGGCCACAATGTGCTAACCGTGTTTGGAAAATAAAGCATTCCTATAACTCTAGATACACTCCTGACCAAAACTTTAAGACGACTTGAAAAAAATTTTTAATAGGAGACATAAACTTTTTATTACTTAAGGTTACTAATTCTATAATCTAAAAGGATATGTAGACAAAAAGTTATTATCCGAACATTTTATTGAGAAATTGACATTTTTATAAAATGAGGCATTCTACACTTGATCAAAATAATAAGACCAGAGACAAAAATTCTACGAAATTGTACGAAAAGTGTACGAAAACATTCAACAACCAAATTTAATAATGAGTTCTACCTCCACTGGTTTTGATGACTTCAAAAATTCTTTGGGAAATGCTAGAAATTAGTGTTTCCATTAAGCTGCGACGAATGTTGCTCCATCTTCTGAAGATAGCATCACGAAGTTCATTTTTTGTTGAATATTGTTTGGCATTTCGATAAACAACTCTTGCCATCCATCCCCAAACATTTTCAATAAAATAAAATGTTCCGATTATAACTTTTTGTCTACATAACTTTTTAGATTATATAATTAGTAATCTTAAGTAAGAAATTTAAAAAAATAAATTTCAAGTGATCTTAAAGTTTTGATCAGGAATGTAGATACGTAAAAAAATCCATGTATTAAGTTAAAAGTAAAAATAAAATCAAATGAAAGTAAAAATAAAATCATCCTTGATAAAGGCTAAAATCACTCGGGCATATAGAACATTCGGACAATCTCTACATAATCTATGTCCAGAAAAGAAGAAAATAAGAATATATATATATATATATATATATATATATATATATATATATATATATATATATATATATATATATATATATATATATAAATATAAAAAATCAATTCTCCTGTCGGGTTCGACGTATGAGTGTCAAGAAGATCAGTTTCCAGGAAGCTGACAGCCCGACACCGACACATGAGATTCGATTATAGTGGTGAAGGTTTCGTGCAGGACCATCCACACTTTTTGAAGGGCCGAATATAGAGACCTGGTGCACTAAGTGCCACAAGGTCCCCAAACGACCCTCCGCAGGTTTTGAATTCAGAGTTGTCCTTCTCCTAGTTGCCATCCAAGGCCATAGAACCCAGTCCGTCCTGCTATTTTACCCATAGCTGGAAGGAGAAGAGGATTCACACCTTTCCCAAGGGTATTAGCACGTAAGTGAATTTAATGGATTCAACCTGTATATATATATATATATATATATATATAAACAAAAAAACTGTAGCATTTTGTCAGTCGTCTCTAGTCTCCGAGTTAATATTGCTCGAAGATGTTTGGCAGAAGAAGACGCCAATGCACTCTTTATGGTGCAAAGGCAGTGGGAAAAAACTTTGGAAGCGGTTGAAGAATCAATCTATCTCAAGTCATCTGCAGTTACTGATCCGACAAAAAAAAATGAAACGGCTCGCCAACTGCCGAGTCGCATTCGCAGGAAATGAAGCAAGCGACGAATCAGTTCACCTCGGAAAGAAATCGACCTAAAGACAGATCACCAAGAAATAATCCATGTTAGGAAGCAAGAAAAAAAAATCGCTACAAGAAACAAATATTCATTTTATAGCTTTTTAAATGTTCATAACCACGTTAAAAAAAAAAAAACTAACATAAAAGTTGTTATCTTTAAAGCTTCTTAAGTCGTCTGAACTCTTAAGATGAAAAATTTTTAATTTTTAAAAATTGACTAACTCGGCTCCTCTTTTCATTGCCTCTTTTTATCATAGTGGGCTAGGTCAGGTCGACATACTCTACGACCTTTAACTGGAACAACGTAAAATCAGAACAAAAGTTAACCTGGGCAAATGTCTGATCTCTAGATGTTCAGTTTTACTTATATTCAACAAATACAAAACCGAAGAACCACTCAAGGTAACCGTCCTGCATAAGACGATAAACTACATCCGCGTCCTGGGTAAGACGATAAACTACGTCCAACAGCAAGGCCTCTGATCAGTAGGTTTTGGGAGCGTGGAACCACCTCTTAATTTCTAGTGTGTCCCAGGTCCACCTTGACCCGGGGTGGTAGCACCTGTTAGGATCCCAGCTATGGGCAACTAGTTAACACCCAAACTTGTCTAAAAATAGGTTTTAATACGAGAAATACTTTGTAATAAAAAAATTATTACCAGCAATAATTTTTAAAGGAAAAATTATTATCAGCAATACTTATAAAAAAATACCAGCAATACAAACAGTTATACATTCTTTGAAAAAAGTATGACCAGTTATAGATTTCTTCAATTTTCCCAGAAATAGATTTTTGAAGAATAACATATTACCAGCAATAAAAATTTTGTCGGCATGAAATAACGCATTCAGGTTGATATGACGTAAAACAAAAACTAAACGAAACCACTCAAGGTAAACAGTTACTGAATAAGGTGTGTGATATGAACCTAAAAGGTGGATTTAGTATGTTTGTTTGTTCATTGTTTTCGGCATATAAACCGCAATAAGTTTTTTAATGGCGACAACATTTATAGGATATGTTCGTATGAACAGAATATATTTTTTTTGATTTGATTTATTTTGTTTTACGTCATATCAACGCCTCAATGGGTTATTTAATGCCGTTAAGAATTTTTAGGATAGGTTCGTATGAATAGAATATATATTCTTTGGTTTGGTCTATTTTGTTTTACGGCATATCAACACCTTAATGGACAACTGAGCATAGACAATGAGTGGTGGTAAAGAATCATATGTTGGTTATAGCTACAAGAGAGAGGAAGACGAAGAGAGCCACGATCGTCCATATCCTGAAGGGACACGGTACGTAAAATGGTGATAGGATAGGGACCACTGAACAATTAATATAACTTGTATCGTTTCGAAAGACGAAAAAATTATTTTAAATAATTTACAAAAAATTATTATTTTTGTATGCATGTGTTATAAAATGTTTTCATTTTTTCAAAATACGGTCAAGATATTATGTTCATGTTCAAAGTTAATATTATTAAACGTTGATTCTTTTGTTTTTATTAATAAGGCTTCCATTATTTTTAGCCTTTTTTTTGCATGTAGATGATGTTATTATATTAGTGTTGTCAACAAGTATATTACGAATAGTGTCTGGTAGGTCTCCATGAATATTTAAATGAGATCTCATTGAGCTATGGTCAGAAAGGTTTAGAGTGAGTATGCGTGTCTTTTATTCTCATTTGTTGTCTTCCTCCCTCTTTTTAGTTCTTTCTCTTCCTCTCCTGTTTCTTTCTCTCCTTCTCTCTATTCTTCCATCTTTCTCTTTCTTTTTTTTCTCTTTTTCTCCCTCTTCCTCTTTCTTCTCTTACTTGGTGATATTGCTGCTTTTCTTGTTATATTGAGTATAATACATATTACATTAATTTTTAAATATCACCATTTTTATAATGATAACTATGATATTGCTGTTTCTTTTCCTTAATTACCGCATTAAATTTACTAGAAGTAGATAATAATTATGATTAACACTTTTATATGTTATAATAATAATAATAATATAAACAACAAGTTCAAAATTGAGTTTCAAATGGGTGCAGAAATATAAGTAAAGGACAATACAGAGACCGAAGCTGCAAAATACTTAAAAAAGAAATCAAAATCAAATGCAACCGACCAGATACAGAAACAATGGTAAGATAAACCGGTTCATGGCCAATTTCTCTGCCCGTATCAAACAAGCTGGTGTAGACAAACCCCGTATCAGGTTGCACGATATTGGCACCCACTGAATATAAAAGCCGGCATGACAGAGTGGGCCAAAATCTGCACTGGAAAATATGCAACTTTTCCGGGAAGGAAACTGAAAGAAACTGGTATGAACACCACACAGACCCGGTTACGGAGATAGGACCTGTTACAATTCTATGGAACTACACAATACAAACTGACAGAACAATCAAAGCTAACCGCCCAGGCATTGTTATTAGAGACCACAAACAAAACAAGTGTCTCCTTATTGATATGGTAGTCTCCGCAGACTGGAATATCTTTGAAGATCTTGAAAAAGCTATCAGATTACAAGGACCTTGAAATTGAAATCTCAAAAATGTGGCACACGGGAACATCAACAACCCTGATGTAGCTGGAGCCCTCGGAATGATTGAGAAAGATTCCAGTAGACTCATTGAAGGGATTCCTGGAAGTCCATACAATAAAGAAATACAAAAAATCATTCTCACGAGTACAGCCCACACCTTACGAAGGACTTTATCTATGTAAAATATGTGTGCAAGTGTGTGTGTGTTTGTGTTTTTTAATTGGTCATTGGAAAATGTAATGACGCCATTTCTGACATTAGGTCTCTGGGAGAGACCCGGAAGGAAATGTGTACACACCAGAAATCAAAGGAAATAAAATAATAATAATAATAATAATAATAATAATAATAATAATAATAAGATATGGCTTGTCCAGCGGATTGTAACATAGCAACCAAGGAATTTGAAAAACTATCAAAATACAAAGACCTGGAAATTGAAATAGAAAAAATGTGGAAATTGAAAACAAGAATAATACCAGTGGTAATAGGTGCACTTGGAATTATAAAAAATGGAACAAAACAACACATTGAAAGAATCCCTGGAAACCCCAGCTTAAGAGACATACAGAAAATTGTCTTATTAAGTACAGCACACACACTAAGGAGAACTTTGTCTATGTAACGCTAGCAACTTCATCGGAAAAAAAAAAAAAAAAAAAAAAAAAAAAAAATTAACATGAAATGTGGCCATAACAACACACCACGACCTGCCTTAGGTCTTTCCGCAGACTTGGTAGGTAGTGTGTCCATAGCAGAAATAATAATAATAATAATAATAGGACCTGTTACAATTCTATGGGACTACACAATACACACTGACAGAACAATCAAGGCCAACCGCCCAGATATGGTTATTAAAGACCACAAACAAAATCGGTGCCTCCTTATTGATATGGCAGTCCCTGCCGACTGCAATGTATCTTTGAAGATATTCAAAAAGTTGTCAAAGTACAAGGACCTTGAAATAGAAATCGCGAAAATGTGGCATATGGGAACATCAACAATCCCTGTTGTAGTTGGAGCCCTAGGACTGGTTGGAAGAGATTCCAGTAGACTAATTGAAGGGATTCCTGGAAGTCCATGCCTCAAGGAGATACAGAAAATTGTTCTGACAAGTACAGACCACACCTTACGAAGGGCTTTATCTATGTAATTTTTTTTTTTTTTTTTTGTCAGTGGAAAGTGTCATGACGCCATTTCTAACCTTAGGTCCCTGGGCGGGACCCGGAAAGAAATGTGTAAACGCCAGAAATCAAAGAAAATAATAATAATAATAATAATAATAATAATAATAATAATAATTCACTCAGCAGACATTGAATAATAATAATAATGATAATAATAATAATAATAGTAATAGTAATAATAATCGGTCATCAAAGATACCTGGAAACTACAGAAGATTGGATGATGATCTGTGTCAAAGAACATGAAAGAAATGAGTAATCATGAAAGAAATAAGTAATAAGTCAGTTAGTTATGTGCCATGCGTGATACACGCGTAGGCGATCATGTACCTTTCGATACATAACTGACGAGGCAGATTTTTCCCGCAGTAGTTTGCCATTTCTTTTTGCGGTAGACCAGTTGCCATCTAAGGCTGTCCTGCTATTTACCCATAGCTGGCAGGAGAAGAAGAGGATTCATACCTTTCCCAAGGGTATTAGCATGTAATGGATTCGACTGCAATTCGAATTTGAACTCGGCTCTCCGATTCTTCAATCCGAGTCACCATCCATTACTACACCGTGCCTCCATTCAACTGGATGAAGAAACGTAAATAAGACATAATATATTTACTGCACCGACAAACCTTAAAAAGAAAGCAAAATGCAAATGCAGAAGCAATGACAAGATAAATCCGCACTAAACAAACTGATGTAGACAAACCTCTTACCCATCAGTGGTTAACGTGACGCAGGGTTAAAAGGTGAAACTGAAGAGCTTTATTCTTAATTAACAGGACCAATGCTTGCTAACTAGAAATTACCAAGAACACCTATTGAAAAATTGTGTTGACTCGAAATGCAGATTCTGTGATAAATATCCAGAAACAATTGACTATCTTGCTTCAGATTGCATAACGTTAACAACCACTGAATATAAAACACGGCATGATAGAGGGGGCCAATATATGCATTGGAAAATATGCAATTTTTATGGGAAGGAAACTGCAAGGAACTGGTATGCACATTACACAGACCCGGTTACAGAGATAGGACCTGTAACAATTTTATCGGACTTTACAATACACACAGAACAATCAAAGCTAATCGCGTAGACATCGTGATCAAAGGCCACAAAAACAGAATGTTCTTTCTTATTGACATGGCAGTCCCTGCAGATTGTAATGTACCTTTGAAAAGCTTCAAAAATCTATCAAAATACAAGGATCTTGAAATGGAAATCTCAAAAATGTAGCACATAAAGATATGAATACTTCCAGTTGTAGTTGGAACACTCGGATTGATTGGAAAAGAGTCCGATGGACTCATTGACAAGATTCCTGGTAGCACATACCTTAAAGAAAATTGTACTCAAAGCTATAGCTTACACACTACAAGAAGCTTTATGTAAAATGCGTGTGGTCTTCTTTTCTTACAAAAAAAAAAAAAATGATCAGTGGAAGATGTCATGAAGCCATTTCTGATCTTAGGTCACTCGTTGGGACCCAGAAAGAAAATAAGTATGCAAAAAAAACAAAAAAACAAAAAAAGAAAAAACAAAGAAATAATAATAATAATAATAATAATAATAATAATAGCTGTATTAGTAATTTAGGTATCCCCCTCCTCCTTATCATCATCATAGTTTTTATCAACATTATCAACGTCATATCATTGTCAGTTGGGTGTTTCGATTTTAATCCCCTCATCGCGGCAAAGATAATGGTAATCCGTTGGCAAGTCGTGCTTGGGTTCCGCCCGCGCAGCCTTCATCGGCAACGCCAAAAAAAAAAAAAAAAAAAAGTTACTTAATCCAACAGTAAACGAGTCAAACCTGTACAAATAATTAGAGAAACAAAAGCAAATCAATTGTTCGTTATCACAAAAAAGAAAAAAGAAAGAAAAAGAAAAAAGGAAAAAGAGAAAGAAAGCAAAAGAAAGAAAAAAGAAAATGAAGGAGGCGGGTGAGTAAAACTAGAAAATGATTCGCCAAATAAAAAAAAATAATAAACAAATAGAAACATGAACATGATCATATTTCAAGCGGGTCGTTATGTCTGCGCATGCGTTCCTGCCTGTATGAGTTAAGTCTTTCTTTTTCTTCCATTGTAAGTCCTCGTGGAGTTTTCTCCACAAGGTTTCAAGAATGTGTAGTTATATTAAAGTACAATTGTGTCCCTTTTATCCACGGGGTAATTTCACAAGACCTTAAGCGGATACATGATATCAAATATACTGTCAAAGATGCTCGCTGTATACAAATGTTCTTATTTGTATAGATAACAATGGCAAAATTTAGTCAAGAAAATTAGTCTCAATAAGATATCAGTAACGTTATTTAATAACAGGACAATTCTAAAGAAATATTCTACTAAAAGTTTTGTGAGAGGGGGGTGTAGGTGCGTTCTTAACGTAGATATTATTAGGAAGAGATTAAAAAGAATAACTAATAACAAAATGGAATTAGGCAATTCTTTTCTTCTTCTTCTTCTTCTTCTTCTTCTTCTTCTTCTTCAACTTAATCTTCTTCCTACATTTTTGTTATATATTTCTTCTTGCACGCCATCTTTCTCATTATCTTTTCAATTTATCCACTTCTTCTTTTTCTTCTTCTCCTCCTCCCCCGCCTTCTTCTTCTTCTTCTTCTTCTTCTTTTTTGTACAAATTTTCTCATTAATCAACCAATTTATCCACTTCTTTTTCTTTCTTTTTTCTTTCTATTTCTTGTTGTTATTGTTCTTCTTCTTCTTTTTTCTTCTTTTCTTCCTCCATTTTTTCGTTATATTCTTCCTCTTACACATCGTATTTCTCATTATCCTTTATCCACTTCTTCTTCTTCTTCTTCTTCTTCTTCTTCTTCTTCTTCTTCTTCTTCTTCTTCTTCTTCCTTTATCGTTACCATCTTCTTTCGCACGATATTTCTCATTATCCTTTCAATTTATCCACCTCTTTTTTCCTTCTACTTTTTTATCCCCTTTATCTTCTTTTCTTCCTTTTCTTCTTCTTCTTTTCTTCTTCCTTTATCGTTATATTCGTTTTCTTACGCATCATCTTTCTCATTATCCTTTCAATTTATCCACTTCTTCTTTTCTTCTTCTTCTTGATCTTAATTTCTGTTTATATATAATAATCCTTTCCTATTAAATTGTTCTTCGTTTTCCTCAATTTTCTTCTTCGTCCGCTTTTATCATTTTTTTTAACTTCTGCGAGTTGAAATGAAGCATATCACTTTGATTTTTGCGTGTTGATCTTGTTATAAAATCCCTTCGACATCTTAAGTGATGTGATTTGAGAAATGGAATAATAATAAAAATAATAATAACAAAATGGAATCAGAAGAGTCAAGAGATCAACCAGAAAAAAAAGGTAAAAAAAAATAGAAGGTCAATCAATCAACAAACATTAAAGCAACAAATGAAAATGGGAATCGATTTTGATCTCGGCCGTCCGATATTTCTATCGATCCCGAAGACACTTATTTTTGCACAGTGATTAACTGCTTTGGCGAACTGACGGATGTGGCGGCAAGAACTTCCGGGTCATCAGGTTTCGTTACTATGACAACAGGGGGAGAAAAAAAAAAGAGCAGTTCATTCTGTGCATTACCATCGTTCTAGCCTCATTTTGATTAAGATACGAGAAGAAGCTATCATCATTGCCAAGACGTGATGACGAAAATGCAGCTGAAGATATAGACGTAGGTGGAGGTTTACTAACGTTCGCTTAGTCTGGCACAAGGTCAGTTATACTGGGCACATTGCGATTTGAGAACATCAGCTTTATAATTACCGTTAATCTTCAGGCGTATGTGTGTGTGTATGTATGTATGTATGTATGTATGTATGTGTGTGTGTGTGTGTGTGTGTGTATATATATATATATTTATTATGGGTGTGGCCGAGTGTTTAGAACGTTGGCTTTCTGGCCATGATACCCGGGTTCGAATTTCACCACGGTTGATTTGTCAGGAATGAGACTTCTTGATGTTATCGGTCTGGATGGGGACGACCCCAGCCTACGACCCTTTTGGAAAATGCCTGAAATACCACGGGTAGATCCAAGCCTTGTGAGTGAAACTGGTAGATGGAACTTGATGGTCATCGATAGCTGTCAAAGGACAAAGCCAAAAGGATGAATCTGACCTTGTGTACCTGGCATGGTGGATCATTGATGTGACGGTCTGAATGAGTGGAACTAAGGAATGTCGCTCGTTTGAACATTTCCAATGGAAATAGCGCGAAGACCGATTCCGTACCTCAAGTTTACTAATGATACCGACGGCCTGGCTTAAAGTGATAATGAACTGGCTAACCTGGTGTGGGGTCTGGACGAAACATCATCCTTATATGGCATGGTTATCAACATCGAGAAAACAAAGATGACGGTAAATAGTGGGGTACCCATTACTTACTTCATGTGCCATGTTCCCCCAGAACGTATTAAATCATGGCTCTTCAAATTTTTTTGTGTTCTTTATAGCTCTTAATAAATTTCGTCTTTTCGTTACCCCTGTTTTGCCATCAATTTATTTAAGCTCGCCAAGTGTGTTATCTGCTGTTTTCCTCTGCTCCTATTCCCTTCAATTCGTCCCGTGAGTATCAGATTTTCCAAACCGTCTTTCCTCATTACGTGTCAGAAAAATGTCAACTCATCCTTCCTGATGTTAAATAATGTTCCCTCTATGTTTCCATTTTTTTCCCAAACCTCATCGTTTCTCACATGTTCGGTCTATGGTATCATCAGAATCATTCTGGAGTATTATATTTCTGTCCTCTTCCTCATCTTTGATAATGTTGTGGTAGGATCCATCTAAGTTGCATAGTGGAGTACCGACCATATAAATATGGTTGGTACCGGGAAGAGAGGAAGGAATCAAGAGATTCAACCAGAGACTCTGCCCGACTGCGACTCAGTCAACACATTCTCCAGGAACGGTCTTACCAGGAATATACAAAAGACTATATGTAAATATTGTGTACACTTTCTTGTTTCAATACATTTTGTTCTAAGTACATTTTGTGTTGCATTATTATTCCATGCATTAGTCAAGTTTCAACAGATAGATTGTCTAACATTCACTGCCATATAAGAGGACATATATCACGTAAGAGTACAGTACTCTTTGTTTCTATCGAGGTTTTCTATCGCTTAATACCCTGCTTAGCATTGGGAATGCATCTTTGGCTATCCCAATAGGGGAATTCGTCAGGACACCGATTACAGTCAGCGGGCTACAGTTGGAGTCAGTTCAAACAGTCGCTGCAATCATCAGAGTTCATGCCAAACGTCAAGGCGTGAATTGCATTTACAACAGTTGCGATGGCACGATTGGAACCGATTTGCAGAGATAAAAAGCTCGCCTTCAAAAATAAATTGAGATTGTTGCAATGATCTCGTCTTGTCGGTTCTCCTGCATGCATATAAGTGACGGACACTAACAGAAGGACTCGAAAGGTGGATCCAAGATGCAGACGCGAGGTACTTCAAACGTCTGGCATTTTCTACAACGACCGCGTCTCGAATGAAGAGTTCCGCAGAAAATGTAGTCGTCAGATAAATCACTATAGCGACGTGATGTCCGTCATATAGAAGAGGAAGTTGAAGTGTTATGACCACGTAACCAGATCAAATGGCCTCTCCAAGATCACCCTACAAGGAACGGTAGATGGAGGAAGGATAAGGGGACAGCAAAAGAAAGAGATGACCAGACAGTGCCGTCGAATGTAAACTTTTCCCAGACCCAGTCACTAGTCAAAGACCGGATCAAGTATATAGGTTCGCCTATCGTCCAGTTCACACTCCTCTCCGGTATTTTGAATAGAAGTAGTGGTTTATCCCTAGTTTCCTGTTTAGGACTGGTTTTCGGGTTTCTTCAAAAGTCTGCTTCAGTTCGGCACTCCTAAAATCTGCGTCTGATATCTGAAATTTTGTCCACTAAATATTTATTTAATTTTATATATATTTTTTTTATCTTCTCCATCAAAATATAGAGTCGTCTATCGCCCGGTTCACACCCCTCTTCCATTTTATGAATAGGAGTAGAGGTTTATCCTTTTTTTTCCTGTTTAGAATTGTACTTCCGCTTCATTCTAAAGTCTAATTCAGCTTGGTATTCCTAACCCGTTTCCTTTCCTACCTACGCAATAACCCTCTACCTTAAGTGTCTCTTGAGCCTGTTACTGGGTGAACACTAGTAACCACCCCCCATAAAAAAGAGAATTTTTGTTGAGCAAAGCTCTATACAACTCCAGTACGACCCTGACGGTTATTTGGACAAAAAGAGGATTTGGGCTGGTTTCTTGAAATTCCTTCAGTGGCTTATGAACTTCTGTGGGTTATTTAATGTCGAATTTAAATATTTTGAACACTGTTTTTTTAGGGAGATAATAATGCTTTTAGTGCTACAATTTTTACTAATTAATCCATAACTGGGGGAGAAGCGGTGGATTCATACCTTTCCCAAGGGTATTTGCGTGTAGGTGAATATAACAAACCCAACTGAAATCAGAACTCGACTCATACATTAATAATTCTAATCCAATTCCTGTTACCCAACCCACACATCAAAGCTTACAGAACCTGATATTCTCAAGCTGTCAGTCATCTACGTACTGACCTGGCACAGGAGTTAACCATTTGCCAATGAGTGTTTATATCCCTGTGCTCTACGTGGAGTTATGATTCTCTTCGTTTTAGATGGGATAGGTTGCTCAGCCCCGTGGATTTCAACCATGCGGCAGCACCTCCCCTATTGCACTAAATAGGTTGGGTCGGTGTAATACCAAAGCTAGCGTGACAGTGGACGCGGGGGCTGGGCAAAAACCAGTTTCTGTCCTTGGTCTATATGCTTATAAGTATGCGCATTGCGTTAAAAGAACTTTGGGTCACATCCAGCCTTGGTGGGGAAGACTGTTAAATATACTTCTAGACTTCAAGAAAAGAAGAATGGAATAAAAGAAAAGATAATAGGAAAAGAAATAATAATAATAATAATAATAATAATAATAATAAGAAGAAGAAGAAGAAGAAGAATACTAAGAAGAAGAAGAAGAAGAAGGCGGGTGGAGGAAGAAAGAAGAAGAAGAAAAAAAAAGAAGTGGATAAATTGAAAGGTTAATGTGAAAGATGGCGTGAAAAAAGAAATATATAAGAAAAAAGGAAGAAAAGAAGATTAAGTTGAAGAAGAAGAAGAAGAAGAAGAAGAAGAAGAAGAAGAAGAAGAAGAAGGCGGGAGAGGAGGAGAAGAAGAAGAAGAAAAAGAAGAAGTGGATAAATTGAAAGGATAATGTGAAAGATGGCGTGCAAAAAGAAATATATAACAAAAAAGTAGGAAGAAGATTAAGTTGAAGAAGAAGAAGAAGAAGAAGAAGAAGAAGTGATAATGAGAAATACTGTGCGAAAGAAGAATGTAACGAAAAAGGAAGAAAGAAACGAAGACGAAAAAGAAGAAAAAGAAGAAGAAAAAGAATTACCTAATTCCATTTTGTTATTAGTTATTCTTTTTAATCTCTTCCTAATAATATCTACGTTAAGAACACCCCCCTCTCACAAAACCTTTAGTAGAATATTTCTTTAGAATTGTCCTGTTATTAAATAACGTTACTGATATCTTATTGGGACTAATTTTCTTAACTAAATTTTGCCAGTGTCATCTATACAAATAAGAACATTTGTATACAGCGAGCATCTTTGACATTATATTTGATATCATGTATCCGCTTAAGGTCTTGTGAAATTACCGCGTGGATAAAAGGGAAACGTAAAAACGATGTCGGAGTAACAGAGGAAAGAAGGAAAAAGGGAGTGGAGATAATGTCAAAGAGAAGCGGGGAGGGCGGAGCTGGAGGAAGAGTCAAAAAATGAAGGGGACAGTAAGTAAGTAAGGAAGGAAGGAAGGAAGGAAGGAAGGAAGGAAGGGATGAAAATGCACACGAAGAAAAAAAACGTGTTGTTAGATTATATAGCGTTGAAGGAACTTAACTTCGGTGATCGTGCGGGAACCGGTGTTTCATCGTGATATGGCCGGAAGAAGAAGAAGAAGAAGAAGAAGAAGAAGAAGAAGAAGAAGAAGAAGAAGAAGAAGAAAGAATAATGTCAGACAGAAAAAAAAAGATCCGTTTTAAAATTCAAGAACTGTTACTTTCTCCTCTTCAAGTAACACGTGACCAATAGTATTGGTTTACGCGGTAACAGTATCGAGGCAGAAAACCTGACCTGGCTGCATTTATATAGATTACTAACATACAAATGTTCTTTTCGGCTATTTGGTTATAAGCTTGAATATTGAATACACGCTGAGCTATGAATATAATATTAAAATTGACATTACTTCACTCACAGCCGTAATTCCTTTGCGTCTTGGGAATAAGTTTTGCAAATGATAAATAGATTCATCGAGAAAAAAAAAACAGATACTCGAATGTCTTAGGCGGGGTTTAGCGATAAAATAAATTTCATCAACGCACCAGAAATACATTAAAACGATGGAGTAAAAAGATTAGAAGATAGAAGTCGAGATTAAGCCAAAGAAATAAATGATACAAAGCAATAAAAAAATACACAAAAATATGTCTTGATGATAAAAGGGAGAAGTAGGGGTGGAAGAGAGAGAGGGAGAGAGAGAGAGGGAGAGACTGATAACACTAGATGATAATAGTGAGAAAATAAATATTAGTGTGATAGCAAGTGTGGGGAGAGGGTCGAGGTTGAATGGGTCCTAAAAAGAAAATGGACGATGATGGAAAAACTTCCAGAAAAGTGCTATGGAATAAAAGGAAAGGGACAGGGAAAAGAAATAATAATAATAATAAGAAGAAGAAGAAGAAGAAGAGGGAAACATAAAAAACGATGTCGGAGGAGAAGGAGGAAAAAGGAGGTGCAGATGATGTCGAAGAGGAGCGGGGGTGGCGGAGCAGAAAGAAGATTCGAATAAATGAAAGGGGATAGTAACAAAGAAAGGTAAGCAGGCAGAAAGAAAGAAAGGAAGGAAGGAAGGTAGAAAGGAAGGCAGGAAGGAAGGAAGGGAAGCAGGAAGGAAGGAAGAAAGGAAGGAAAGAAAGAAGGAAGGGAAGCAGAAAGAAAGGAAGGAAGGAAGGAAGGAAGAAAGGAAGGAAGGAAGGAAGGAAGGGAAGTAGGAAGGAAGGAAAAAGGAAGGCAGGCAGGTAGGAAGGAAAGAAGCTAGAAAGGAAGGAAGAAAGTAAGGCAGGCATGCAGACAGGAAGGAAGGAAGGAAGAAAGAAAGGAAAGAAGGAAGGAAGGGAAGCAGGAAGGAAGGAAGAAAGGAAGGAAGGAAGGGAAGCAGGCGGGAAGGAAGGAAGGAAGGGAAGCAGGAAGGAAGGAAAAAGGAAGGAAGGAAAGAAGGGAAGCAGGAAGGAAGGAATGCAGGCAGGCAGGAAGGAAGGAAGGTAGAAAGGAAGGAAGAAAGTGAGGCAGGCATGCAGGCAGGCAGGCAGGCAGGAAGGAAGGAAGGAAGGGAAGCAGGAAGGAAGGGAAGCAGGAAGGAAAGAAGGAAGGGAAGCAGGAAGGAAAGATGGCAGGAAGGTAGGAAGGGAAGCAGGAAGGAAGGAAGGAAGGAAGGAAGGAAGGAGGAAGGAAGGGAAGCAGAAAGTAAGGAACGCAGGAAGGTAGGAAGGGAAGCAGGAAGAAAGGAAGGTAGGCAGGCAGGCAGGAAGGAAGGAAGGAAGGAAGGAAAGAAGGAAAAAGGAAGGAAAAAGGAAGGAAGGAAAGAAGGGAAGCAGGAAGGAAGGAAAAAAGGAAGGAATGCAGGCAGGAAGGAAGGAAGGTAGAAAGGAAGGAAGAAAGTAAGGCAGGCATGCAGGCAGGCAGGCAGGCAGGAAGGAAGGAAGGAAGGAAGGAAGGAAGGGAAGCAGGAAGAAAGGAAGGAAGGGAAGCAGAAAGTAAGGAAGGCAGGAAGGTAGGAAGGGAAGCAGGAAGAAAGGAAGGTAGGCAGGCAGGCAGGCAGGAAGGAAGGAAGGAAGGAAGGAAGGAAGGAAAAGGAAGGAAAGAAAGAAGGAAGCAGGAAGGAAGGAAAACAGGAAGGAATGCAGGCAGGCAGGAAGGAAGGAAGGTAGAAAGGAAGGAAGAAAGTAAGGCAGGCATGCAGGCAGGCAGGAAGGAAGGAAGGAAGGAAGAAAGGAAGGAAGGAAGGAAGGAAAAAAGGAAGCAGGAAGGAAGGAAGGCAGGAAGGTAGGAATGGAAGCAGGAAGGAAGGAAGAAAGGAAGGCAGGCATGCAGGCAGGCAGGCAGGCATGCAGGCAGGCAGGCAGGCCGGCAGGAAGGAATGAAGGAAGGAAGGAAGGAAGGAAGGAAGGAAGGAAATACAATCATGTGTTGTTAGATTATATAGCATTGAAGAAAAATTAGAACAGATAGACATGGGGGTGGAAACTAAAGACGTATGAGAAAGAAGCGGAGAAAAGAAAAAACGAAAATGAAAATGGGATGAAATAAATAAATAAAGAAAGAAAGAAAGAAAGAAAGAAAGAAAGAAAGAAGAAAAAGAATTGAAAAGGTAGCAGCAATAATAATAATAGTTAACATGAAGAAGTAGAGGAAAAGTGAAGGATAAAATGGAATTGTAAAAAAAGGAGTCGGTGGAATAGGGCAAAAGATGGGAATGGAAGCGGAGGTGGTGGTGATGATGATGATGAGGGGGTGGGGGAGATGAAGGGGGAGGAGGAAAAGGAATATGAAGGAAAAAAAGAGAAGGAAAAGGTGGAGAAAAACGTTGATTGGGAAGAAGTAGAAAGAAAGAAAGAAAGAAAGAATCAGTGACATAGGCGAAGGAACCGAAGGAGAAGAAAGAAAAGAAACGAAAATGACGAAAAATAAATAAATAAAGCAAGAAAGAAAGCAAGAAAGAAAGAAAGAAAGAAAGAAAGAAAGAAAGAAAGAAAGATAGAAGAAGAACTAGATGTAGAAGAAGAAGAAGTAGAAGAAAAAGAAATAAACAAAAATAGTGATAAACAAAGCGAAGAAAATGAAGAAGTGAGAAGAACGAAGAATGATGATGATGATGAAAAAGGAGTGAAGAGAAAGAAACTTAGATGACGAAAGACATCGAAGAATATGGAATTAATTACGAAGTGAAAGAGAAAGAAATGCGAAACAATAAATGGGAAAAAGGGGCGATGAAATGAACAAGAATGAACAAAAATATCAGAAAAAAGAGAAGATAAAGAAGACGAAGAAGATGTCAAAAAAAGAGTTGAAAGATGAAGAAAAGATGTCATTAAAAGTGGTGAAAGAAGAAGTAAAGATGTCAGAATGTGCGATGAAATAAGAAAAGGTGTAAGATAATGTGTTGAAAAGAAGAAAAGATGTCAGAAAAAGTGTTGGAAAGAAGAAAAGACGTAAGAAAAAAGTGTTCAAATAAAAAAGAAAACGAAGAAGAAAAAGTGTTGAAAAGAAGAGATGTAAGAAAAATTGTTGAAAGAAGAATAAATGTCGAAAATGCTATGAAAGATTAAGAAGAAGAAGAAGAAGAAAAGGAGAAGAAGAAAAGAAAAGAAATTAAAAAGAAAGAGAAAGGCAGAGAAAGGGGGAAGATGTTTGTCGGAGGCAAAACATGAAGCTTGAGACTTCAACGGCAGCCGATATAAACATTTATCAATCAGCTGAACATTACCAAAATGAAGGCTGTGATCTGAGATCAAGATTAACATTGAAGATCAAGACGATGGAAAAAAAAATGGAAACATGGGTGTGAAATCTCTGAGGATTTCATCTAGCCAACTTGAGGAGAGATTTTCAAGAGAAATCTTTTAATGAAACGTGTTTATGGTAAGGCTGAAGATTCTTGCCTTTGAGCCTCGCACCCCCGAGACTTGAAATCATGGGTGAGAATATAACCAGTTTTGAAGTGTGATCAATATATTTTGAAGGTCATTTCTTCTCGACTTTTACACTTCGTAAATTCAACATTCCAGATCCCTATCCATCCTCTCTCTTGATTTCACTGTTCTTCTCTAACTCTTTTTAATTTTTAATTTAAACCTCCACCTTTATCTTATTCTATTTATTTTTCTTCAACGCAATCCTCTTCTTTTTTCATTTTCGGATTTCCCTTTTTTTGTCGTCTTCTTCTTCGTCTTCTTCATCTTCGTTTTCATATTCTTCTCCTTTTTCTTCTTCGTCTAGTTCTGCTTCTTCTTCATCTTGTTCATATTCTGCGTCTTCTTAATCTTCGTCTTTTTCATATTTTCTTCATTTTCTTCGTCTCCTTCTCATTCGTCTTCTTCTTCTTTTTCGTCGTCGTAGTCGCCGCATTCTCGTTTTTCGTCTTCTTTTTCATCTTTTTAGTTTTGTCTTCTTCTTCTTCTTCTTCTTCTTCTTCTTCTTCTTCGCCTTTTTCTTTGTTTTCTCCTTTTTCTTTTTCTTTTTCGTCGTCTTCGTCTTCTTCGCTATTTTATTATTTTTGTCTTCTTCTTCTTCTTCTTCTCCTTCTTCTTCTTCTTCTTCTTCTTCTTATTTTTCGTCTTCGTCTCCTTCTCCATATTCTTCGTATTGTTCATGTTCTTCTTCTTGCTCTTTTTCAACTTTTCTAGACTCTTCTCTTTTGTATTCAACCATAATTTCTTTCTTTCTTTCTTTCTTTCTTTCTTTCTTTCTTTCTTTCTTTTTCTTCTTCTTCTAAAAATAATAATAATAATAATAATAATAATAATAAATAAGGTAAAATCATAGCACTAACCCTAAAGAAAAATTTTCGAGACATAATCAAGTCGTTGATTGGTTCATTCATTAATTTTTTGCGGTTTATCAACACTTTTCAGGTTATTTATAGCCCCAAAATATTGTTAGATTGTACAAATTTTCCCAGAGATCATAATGCTTTAGTTACAAGTCTTATTAATTAACGCATAACTAGCGGTTTCAGGAGAAGAGGCAGAGATGCAAATCTTTTCCCAGTGATATTTGCTAGTAATTATCAGTTTCTTTTGAGTTCCTATATATATATATATATATATATATATATAAAATCTGACCAGGGGACACTACCACGGTTTCGACCTCTACGGTCTCCTAGGGTGGTTTGTTCAGCAAATCAACTACACCGAGCTCAACAAATTAAGCACCTTTGAAACTGGAAGTAGTGGGGGGAGACGAGGCTACGCCGAATGGCGGAGTCTCTTTCGGGGATTTAAACCGACCCCGAATCCGTTTATACGCGTTCAAAGGGCATAATTTTTGCCGACCCCACGGGCTCGAGAATCCCACGTTAAACTGGCCTTGTGCCACATGATGCCCTCTTGAGCGGGTGACTGAATATCGTCAGTAGTTCAAGTCGAATCAAGAGTCGAGTCAGAGGCAGTCCGAAATACAGTCGCGTTCATACAATTACTGCAAGACATTGGAATAGTGATACTGGTCGAGACAATTGTTCTCTCTACTAAACCTGATTGTTCTTACTAACACTTCGACTTCTCTGTATATATTCCTGTTTGTAATATATGTGTTATTCCATACCTGTGTTCGAGTTCTTCTTTATTGGTTCTACCTTGGACTATCAGCGTGGTACAAGGAATCGAACCATAACAGAGATGCTCTTAATCATATATGTTTTGCAGCATTTGCTTCTCCCTTGTCTTGTACCCCTTCTGACCTTTCAGATGCCCTTGATATTCTATGGCTTGCATCACCTGCACGTATTCTAGCTAGTACCTCATCTGGTGTTTCTTCTGCGCTTCACACTCTTTGCCTTAGATCTGGGATAGTTCCATGGTATTTTGAGGATGTATCTTTAAATTCTTCAATTCAATCCATGGAACTTCAAAACCTGGCTAACCCTGGCCAAAAGACCGATTTGGGCCGAAAGTCAGAATTGGTTGCAAACCCCTTTTCCCAGAAACAAAATCTCTCGCTATTTTCATCGCTGATCGTCAGCCGTGCCACACACTTTAGTTCCACCAGTTCAGGTATCCACTGCCATATCCCAAACTGCCACGTAAATAGGGTTGGATTATCTTAATTTCTTTCGTATTCCATTAGTAAAAAGAAGTTCCAATTTGACAACTTCTCCCCAATGATATCTTTATAGAATAAACTTCCGAGAGAAGTCAATACAATGTTAGCCTCTTCAAGTGTATCTACCGGGAACAACCTAGGGCTTCAGAATATGCTGACTGCATGTCTGCAGAGGGGTAAGATCCCCCTTCCCAAATACACAACGAGGCGTCTTGGATAAACCACATCCGCCTCCTGGATATGACGATAAACTAGATCCGGCAGCAAGGCATCTGATCAGACAGCTTTGAGAAGCGTGGAAACACCTCTTAATTGCTGGTGTTACAAGGTTCCTCTCTGATTCGGGGTGGTAGCACATGTTAGGGTCCCAGCTATGGGCAAATAGTTAACCCCCAAAATGGAGCCAAAACTCTACGAAAGTGTAATAATATGTTTTAATACCAACAATACATATTTGGAAAAATATATTACCGGTAATACATTTATTTAAAAACAAAAAAAAATTACCAGCAATAAAAATCTTCTTGTTATTAAATAACCCATTGAAGTTTATATGTCGTATAACAAATTTCACTACGAACAGATCCACTCTTTCAATAACCTATTTTTAGTAACGCTCAATATAGAGTGGTCTTTGTTAATTTTATTCGGTGAATCAAAGTAACGATAAAGGAGGTAGTATTTAAAAATGTTTGACCAGGACGAGACCGAACATTCTGTAGGAATCCAAGAGATAGCTGACATATAGCATGCGGCAAAGGAAGAAAAAGAATTTTTTTTTCAAAAGAATAAAAGCGTTACGAAGTACTGAACTCAAAGCGAGTAATCGGATTATGGTTTCAAATATGTCAGCTATTTCATGCTCTTGTTCGCTTAAAGTAAGTCAAGTCCCAGGAAACGCTTACGTTCAAAACCCGTCCCAGATATTTAAAATTTTCTACATGCTTGATTTTGGTATCTCCAACCTGTATTTCAAATCTTGGACTGTTCCACTGGCTGTCATCTATCCAGTGATTCTTCTTACAATTGATAGTTAGTCCTTTCTTCTTGCTTTTCTTTACTACATTGTCTTGGAGGTCCTGTAGGTTTCTTTCTTTGTCTGCAATCAAAACACTCTCAAATGCATGTTTTATGCTGTTAAAATTGTTCCCGCCAATAATGGATCTCTCAGAATATATTCTTCCTAGGTGTGACGATAAACTACATCCGGCAGCAAGGCCTCTGATCGGGAGGTTTTAAATGCTGTTGTGTCTAGGTCCATCCTGACTCGGGGTGGTGACACCCATTAGGGTCCCAGCTATGGACAAATAGTTAACCCCTTAACTGGGGGTAAACACCATGAGAGTATAAAAAAAATTAAAGTAAAAATAATAGCAGTAAATTTTATAATAATAATACATTTTTATAATAAAAATATTACCAACAATACTTTTTTTAAAAAAAAAATTATTAATGCTCACAAAAAAAAATAATTAAATTTCGCCATTAAATGACCCACAAGGAGTTGATATGCCGTTAAATAAACAAATAAATAAACAAGAACTTAACGGGATTCTTTTATAGACTTAAGAAATTTAGAAGTTGATGGAAGATAACTGTTGGCCCTAGACTTGAAGAGGTTAAAACTGTTTGTAAGGGAAACATTGTCTCGAGTGTAAGTAGCTGCTAACTGGGGGAACTAGGGAATGTCGATCATTTATCTATAAGGCCCAAGAACCACTCAAGGTAAAGGGTTAAGATATGGAGCTGTTTTATGAATATACTAAGAGCACCTAATAAACATATATATGTTTACATTTGGATACACATTGAACAGATATGAAAGTACGTGAGAGATTCATGGAAAATTGTAGTTTAAAAGCAGTAAAATCGACCTTGCTAACCGAACGATCCTCTGTGGATCAATCGGTTAAGGCACGTCAGGCTATATGACGGTTCTGTATAGGACACAGGTTCGATTCCTGTCGGAGGACAAATATTTTCTATGAAAATTTCTCGGACATTCAGGCCGGTAAATGTTATTAATACTGTTTATTATAAACAGAGCATTTATGTAAATATTTGTATCTATAAAAAGAATGTATAATAATGACACGGCATATAGCAGCAGAAGAAGAGCATTGAAAACAAATCGAAGACAAGATAGACAGAGTAAAACAACGCATAACTTACTTAGTGAGCTTGAGTAAATTGATGGCGAAACAAGGAGAGTCATGATCGCCAACGTCCCTACAGGGACACGGCATCTAGAAGAAGAAGAAGAAGA